CAGAGCATTACATCTAACACTGTGACGTCGACGCATTACATCTAACACCGTGACGTCGGCGCATTACATCTAACACTGTATCGTCAGAGCATTACATCTAACACCGTGACGTCAGAGCATTACATCTAACACCGTGACGTCAGAGCATTACATCTAACACCGTGACGTCAACGCATTACATCTAACACCGTGACGTCAGAGCATTACATCTAACATCGTGACGTCAGAGCATTACATCTAACACCGTGACGTCAGAGCATTACATCTAACACCGTGACGTCGACGTATTACATCTAACACCGTGACGTCGAAGCATTGCATCTAACACCGTGACGTCAGAGCATTACATCTAACACCGTGATGCCGAAGTATTACATCTAACACCGTGACGTCGACGTATTACATCTAACACCGTGACGTCAGAGCATTACATCTAACACCGTGACGTCGACGTATTACATCTAACACCGTGACGTCAACGTATCACATCTAACACCGTGACGTCGACGTATTACATCTAACACGTGCCTGGGTAACAACACAGCGTTCAGTTACCTTCACTTGGTTCGCCATTGGCAACTGCTCCATGATCACCTTGTCTTCAATTACATTTACAAACACTCGTTGACATAAATAAATACAACTCAACTAAAAGTTAATCTAAATATCTCAGCTCCTTTCACAAGAGCTTCTGTGTACGTTTGTACACTGAGTGATGTACCAGCGTCGCTTGAAGACCGTTCGTAATTGTCTGGGTGCAGGGTGAGTCGGATTGTGATGGAAATCTGTGACCCCTACTCACATTTTCTTTTCAGTGACAAAGTGGATCTTCATCATCATCACCTTGTCCCATTGCAGCATTTGCGTGCATCACCGAGCTATGTTATTTTATGCAAATATCTCTTACGCACCATCTGCATGTTTAGAATAACAAAAGTTATTCTTGATGTTCAGAATCGGTGTTTATCATCCCCCAGTGTGCTCACATCAGCTCTTCTTGTTTATGATTTGCATCGACGGTCTCTGTAGGAAATGCGTGTTCCTTTCTTGTTCAGGTAGCCTCGTGGTGGTTGTGGTGCAGGTGTAAAGTTCCTTAATGGAGATACGCTTCTGCGGCCGTCTGGAACGCTCTTCCGATATTAGGACACCACTGGAGCTATATGCACTTTTAAATACTCGATATTGTAAGCGAATGTATTTAGAACTGATTGTTGTTGTGTGGTTTGTTGTCCTACTTTTCATCTTACTACGACCAGCAGCGCTTCCAGTGGGACACCCGGAGGTGCACCAGAACTTCACGAATGGATACTTTTCTCTCTCCCACTCACTGGCAACAACACATATCATATGAACGCATTTCCGTTGTATGTCCGTGCGGAGCGGAAATGCAGCGGTTAGGGCGCTGCGCTACAAACCCGGCGAGCCGAATTCGAGTCCCGCTCATTGACAACACCAGCGACGAGTATCTCAACCGGTCTTGGACCTCCGCTAGGTCGACTCAGCCTCAAATGAGTACCTGGTGCGGTGTGTAAAAATATTGCTACTGGGGAGACAAAGGACGCTGGGCGTGGTCCTGGCCACCCATCCCCTCGTGTACCGTGCCGGCCTTCATAGGTGCTCGCTAACAGCACTTGCCCCAACAGTCTGTTAAGGGTATACGGGGGATCTTTGTCTTGTCTTTGTATGTTGAACTACTTTCGCACCATACGTAGCCATCCGTGCTAATTGGAGGTGTGGGGCCAAGGTAAACAAACTTAATACAAAAAGCAGTTTTACAGAAATGAGTTTCCAATCTATAGGATTTAAAAGTGCATAGTTCAAGTGGCGTCCTAATATCGGTAGAAAGAGCGTTCCAGACGGCCGCAGAAGCGCATCTGAAAGCACGCGCGAAGCAGGTACCGTCTCTGTTGATGCTACTCCTCTAGGATACTTGTATCGCGACGGCCAGCCGGCTACCCAAACAAGAAAGGAACACGAAGCTCCTTTCAAAGACCGTGGATGCAAATCATAAACAAGAAGAGCTGATGTGAGCACACTGGGGAATGATAAACACCGATTCTGAACATCAAGAATAACTTTTGTTATTTTAAATATGCAGATGGTAACGTGAGGGATATTTGCATAAAATAACTCGGTTATGCACGCAATTGCTGCAATGAGACAAGGCTTGACAGCACGAGTTGGATGATGGTGATGATGAATATCCATTTTGTTACTGAAAAGAAAATGTGAGTAGTAGTCACAGATTCCCATCACAAATCGACTCGCCCTGCACCCATACAATTACGAACGGTCTTCAAGTGAAACCTAGTACATCACTTTTATCTGAGTTGTGTTAACCAGCACCACGCCCGGCCGCTTTTGTCTAACCAGTGCTGATATTAAATCATTATTAACGGCCACTTAGGTCCCACATCACCCTGACGTGACCCTGCCTGTTTCCGTCACGTGAATTAGTAACCACGGCCACGGGGAGCCATACTGTCCTCACATCCCCCATACTGTCCTTACATATGTATGTAATCAATCCACTACTCTAATCCATCTATGTATGTATTTTGAACTTCTTTCGCACCGTACGTAGCCAACCGTGCTAATTTGAGGTGCGGGGGAAGGACAACAAACTAAACACATAAAGCAGTTATAAAGAAATTAGTTTTTCAATCTAGGTGATGATTTAAAAGTGTTAAGCGCCAGTGGCTTCCTAATATCGGAAGAAAGAGCGTTCCAGACGGCCACAGAAGCGCAGATGATCGGTCGTGTAAGGAATACTGATAGTTTATGCAGTGGTTCTAAATCGGGGTACGCGGACCCCTGGGGGCACGCGGACCCCTGGGGGCACGCGGACCCCTGGGGGCACGCGGACCCCTGGGGGCACGCGGACCCCTGGGGGCACGCGGACCCCTGGGGGCACGCGGACCCCTGGGGGCACGCGGACCCCTGGGGGCACGCGGACCCCTGGGGGCACGCGGACCCCTGGGAGTACGTGGCAATGTCCCAGGGTGTTACGTGGGGTGATTTATAAACGCGTGAAATTATATCGTGCGTTTGAGTCATCGATGAATAATCGTGTTGTATGAATATGCCAATATAAAATAACTACCATAACATTTTAATCCATACGTTGACCTAGAACGCTATAAAACTAAACTCGTTGATCGTGAACAATGCGGGTTTCCAAGGGTAACCAGCGAGCGAGAACAAATGACCTCACGCTTGCAGCTACTAACGAGCTAGTTAGGGATGCCTCACAAAATTGACAATTTGTTTAAAACATTTGACGTTCGTGGTGCGGGTGTGTAGTCAGAACCGTGTTGGGTCAGGAAAGGAGGGGGGGGGGGAGCTACTCATTTGAAACAATGTAACAAGAGGGGAGGGGGGGTCACACCAGCAGCCGACATTAATTGGCAACCACTGCTCTGTGTGGAGAGGCAGATATGGGGGAGGCGATGGTGCTGGCGTCTCTCCATCGTTGTCTCTGCGGAACAATGCGGCGGCGTCTTCCGCCCACCCCCGACTCTTGCCTGGGCTTCGGCGGGAGATTGATGGCGACGTGACGAGCGAGGCTGGGTTCGCCCCGGGGGTGGTGCACGAACAGCAGCAGACTCGGGCAGATCTCGTTGCAGTGGTGGCGCGGATGGTGGTGGTGGTTTTTATGTCTGGGTCTGTCTCGAGACCTCCTGTTGGCGAGCATTCTAACATTACACGTGGCCTCAAAGTGCACCTGGCCTGGCACAGGCGCCGTGCTGACGTCACCGTCACTTTGTGGTGAATGGCGGTTGTAGTCTGTGTGTCTGTGTGTGTCTGTGTGGATGGAGTGATGTGGTACAGGAGGATGTGGAGCTGAGTGAACTTGCCGATGACTGGTACCAGCGGTGTCAAGATCGGCCTCTGTGGAGGAGGCTCGTGAAGGACGCTACTGGGCAGTTGGAGGCAGTCGCCCTCCAACAACAACGGAGGGGTGAGGAGCGACGCTCACAACAACGAGCGGAGCGCCGGGTGGCTAAAGCACAGCAAGTTGGCACAGTAGGGGGCAGAGGTGGTGCATCAGCCAGTCATCTCAGTCAGTCGACCCGTGGCACCTGGGTCTGCCCCGTGACCTCCTGTCAACGGGCTTTCAACACTTCACGTGGCCTCAACGTGCACATAGTTGTAGTCTGTGTGTGTGTCTGTGTGTGGGGAGTGTAGTGCAGTTGTTAGCGCGCTGCGCTACGAACCCGACGACCCGAGTTTGATTCCCGCTCACGACCAGTGACGAGTATCTCCCCTAGGTCGACTCAGCCTGAAATAAGTACCTGGTGGGGTGTGTAAAAACATCGCCACTCGGGAGACAAAGGCAGCCGGGCGTGGTGTTGGCCACCAACCCCTTCGTGTGCTGTGCCAGCCTTCATAGATACTCGCTAATAGCACTTGCCCTAACAGTCTGTTGAAGGCTATATGGGGGATCTTTGTTCATGGCAATGGTGTTGGGGGTGCTGATATTGATGTTGGTTGTCGTGGTGTAAATGTTGGAACGGGGAGCGGTGGCGCAGTGGTTAGTGCACTGCGCTACGTTGGTGACCCAAGTTCGATTCCCGCTCAACATCAGTGACGAATATCTGAACAGGTCCTGGGCCTCCCCTATGCCAACTCAGCATAAAATTAGTACCTGGTATGGTGTATAAACATCAGCATAACAATAACTTGACGAGCACCTCTTCCAATGACATCGCTACCACCTCCACTATCACGAACATCACAACCACCAACATCACAACCACCAACACAAACCTACAAGCAACTGCATTGGCAATACCACCACTACCACCCCTGCCATCAACAACATTACAAAGATCCCCCCATAGAAATTCTGCACGACCGCTCGCTCACTCACTGACTTACATAGCGACTGACTGACACACTCACACTGATTCACTCCAGGAGGAGGAGGGACGTTAAATCATCGGCGTGTCACGCGCGCCGTGACGTTACCCCCACAGCCATCACATCCTCCATCTCCACCTATCCCCCCCCGCCCCCTCAATCTCCCTCCCTCCCCCCTCTCCTCCCCCCACGCCTTCACCCCGCCTCCTCGCTCGTATTTACCGTCCGACGCGCACAAGGGGCAGAGCAGAGAGACTGCGCGCGCGCATAGAAGAAGCAGAGGCGGTTTCAATTCAAGTGGCAGCGCGGATAATAGGAAAGGCAGCTCGAGTAAGAGGAAGGCAGCAGCGCTGATAAGAGGACGGCATCCCAGATAATAGGAAGGTGGCAGCACGGGTAGGAGGAAGGTGGCACGGGTAAGAGGAAGGTAGCAGCACGGGTAAGAGGAAGGCGGCACGGGTAAGAGGAAGGCGGCACGGGTAAGAGGAAGGTGGCACGGGTAAGAGGAAGGTAGCAGCACGGGTAAGAGGAAGGTGGCACGGGTAAGAGGAAGGTGGCACGGGTAAGAGGAAGGTGGCACGGGTAAGAGGAAGGTGGCACGGGTAAGAGGAAGGCGGCACGGGTAAGAGGAAGGCGGCACGGGGGTAAGAGGAAGGTGGCACGGGTAAGAGGAAGGCGGCACGGGTAAGAGGAAGGTAGCAGCACGGGTAAGAGGAAGGCGGCACGGGTAAGAGGAAGGCGGCACGGGTAAGAGGAAGGTAGCAGCACGGGTAAGAGGAAGGTGGCACGGGTAAGAGGAAGGCGGCACGGGTAAGAGGAAGGGGGGTTCCAGGTTGCGCATCGAATCACCGTCACCCGGGATGTCCCCGAGCGGAACCGCGGCCGCGTTCTTCGCGCTACTCGTATGCGGAGCACACGTGGCCCAGGCGGTGTACGGTGAGTACACACACGCGTGTACGCACACACTCACACGCGTGTACGTACACACACGCGTGTACGTACACACGCGTGTACGTACACACTCACACGCGTGTACGTACACACTCACACGCGTGTACGTACACACTCACACGCGCGCGAGTACACACACGCGCGTGTACAAAGACAAAGACCCGTTATAGCCTTAACAGACTGTTGGGGCAAGTGCTGTTAGCGAGTAACACCTATGAAGGCCGGTACGGCGCACGACTAGGTGGGTGGCCAGCACCACGTGGCGGTGTTTACTACACACCCGCCTCAGGTACTAATTTGATGCTGAGTCGACCTAGGGGAGGCCCAGATAATTGGCACTGGTGTTGGCCGTGAACGGGAATCGAACCCGGATTGCCGGGTTTGTAGTGCAGCGCTACACTACCGCTCTCCCACGTCACACACGCGTGTGTACACATGCATACTCACGTGTACTCACACACGTGTATCATTCATGAAACACACGTGAAACGCATTAATTCGTAAACCACTTGCACGTAAAATTCATTCATGAAACACGTGAAACGCATTCATTCATAAAACACTCACACGTGAAAGTCATTCATGAAACACGCTTGAAATTCATTCATTCATGAAACGCTCTCGCACGCAGCCACCGCCAGGTTGAGTTCTGCTGCTGCGCGCGATCGTCCTGCTGAAGTCAGACGTCGGTGAACTTAACATGGCAGCTCTCAGTCAAGTTGATAGACGTCGGTGAACTTAGCATGGCAGCTCTCAGTAAGATTTGGTACAGTACACAAAATTCAAAAACTAGTATCTTGCACTAACGACGAATTACCTAAATTATAAACAGAAGGTGTATATCAGATTAATTGTTTATGTGGCAGATGCTATATTGGACAGACGGGACGTAACATCAGCATAAGACTAAAATAACACCAAAGAAATATTAAATTATATCAAACACAACTGTCGGCAGTGGCAGAACATGCTTATCAACAAGGACACTCAATTGGTTTTGATAACGTTGAAGTGTTGTTTAAAACCAATTATTACTGGTAAAGACTAATTTGAGAATTATTGAAATTGAGAGAAATAGAAATAACTTTAATCGCTCTGACAGCTACAGGCTTAGTGCGGCTTGAAAGCGTATTATTAAATAATACATATTACATTTCCTTATAGGGGAAACACATACTAATTAACTGATTACTAACGTAGCATATAATCACAATAACACACATTACAACTAATTACTAATCTACAACTCATTACTAATCATAACCATTGACTGATTACCAATGGATTACATAATTACAATACCCCTCCGCCTCAAATCACTGCACCTGAATGAGTTAAATGATGACGTCACCCTGCTGCTCTATTTAAGACCGGGAGCAAGTGAGGGCTTTACCATTCTGGCGAATTGCCCGATGATGCTAGATGTAATTACCAGCGAAACGTCGTACTAAAACTGTAAATGTTGTGGATTCACTCTTCAACACACCGGTGGGCTAAAGTAGTGAACTTTTTTGTCTTTTGTCAACGTGACACTTTTTTTGCTGATTGGCCGTGTCGGGTGGTGGAGGGTTACAACACATTTATAAACAACGCAATATAACCCAAAAAAACATTATTATGAATAATATTGGTCGCAAAAGCCTACGTGTTAAACTGAAGTTGATAGACGTCGGTGAACTTAACCTGGTTCTGGTGATGGTGGTGCTAGTGATGGTGGTGATGGTGATGGTGGTGCTGGTGATGGTGTTGATGGTGGTGATGGTGGTGGTGATGGTGGTGCTGGTGATGGTAGTGCTGGTGATGGCGGTGCTAGTGATGGTGGTGATGGTAGTGCTGGTGATGGTAGTGCTGGTGATGGTAGTGCTGGTGATGGCGGTGCTATTGATGGTGGTGCCGGTGATGGTGGTGCTGGTGGTGATGGTGGTGCTGGTGGTGGCGGTGCTAGTGATGGTGGTGCTGGTGATGGTGGTGCTGGTGATGGTGGTGATAGTGGTGATGATGGTGCTGGTGATGATGGTGCTGGTGATGGTGATGGTGGTGATGGTGGTGCTGGTGATGATGGTGCTGGTGATGATGGTGCTGGTGATGGTGGTGCTGGTGATGGTGGTGCTGGTGATGGTAGTGATGGTGGTGCTGGTGTTGGTGGTGATGGTGGTGCTGGTGATGATGGTGCTGGTGATGGTGGTGCTGGTGATGATGGTGCTGGTGATGATGGTGCTGGTGATGATGGTGCTGGTGATGATGGTGCTGGTGATGGTGGTGCTGGTGATGGTGGTGGTAGTGATGGTGGTGGTAGTGATGGTGGTGCTGGTGATGGTAGTGCTGGTGATGGTAGTGCTGGTGATGATGGTGCTGGTGATGGTGGTGCTGGTGGTAGTGATGGTAATTGATGCTGCATCAGTGCGGAGCTTCCACCAGATCGGTTCTCCTGGGAAGCTGCACGAGCAGCATGCGCCCGTGGGTTTCTATGCAAAATCAATGGGTCTCTATGTGAGTCACTCAATCTTTGTGTGAGTCTATGGGTCTCTGTGTGAGTCTATGAATGTTTGAGTGAGTGTGGTTCTATGTGTGAGTCTATGGGTCTATGTGTGCGTCTATGAATATTTGTGTGAGTCTATAGGTTTCTGTGTATATCTGCGGGTCTCTATGTGAGTCTATGGGTCTGCGTGTATATCAGCGTGTCTCTATGTGAGTCTATGGGTCTGCATGTATATCTGCGGGTCTCTATGTGAGTCTATGGGTTTCTGTGTATATCTGCGGGTCTCTATGTGAGTCTATGGGTCTGCGTGTATATCTGCGGGTCTCTATGTGAGTCTATGGGTTTCTGTGTATATCTGCGGGTCTCTATGTGAGTCTATGGGTCTGCGTTTATATCTGCGGGTCTCTATGTGAGTCTATGGGTCTGCGTGTATATCTGCGGGTCTCTATGTGAGTCTATGGGTCTGCGTGTATATCTGCGTGTCTCTATGTGAGTCTATGGGTCTGCGTGTATATCTGTGGGTCTCTATGTGAGTCTATGGGTCTGCGTGTATATCTGCGTGTCTCTATGTGAGTCTATGGGTCTGCGTGTATATCTGTGGGTCTCTATGTGAGTCTATGGGTCTGCGTGTATATATGCGGGTCTCTATGTGAGTCTATAGGTTTCTGTGTATATCTGCGGGTCTCTATGTGAGTCTATGGGTCTGCGTGTATATCTGCGTGTCTCTATGTGAGTCTATTTGTTTCTGTGTATATCTGTGGGTCTCTATGTGAGTCTATAGGTATGCGTGTATATCTGCGTGTCTCTATGTGAGTCTATGGGTCTGCGTGTATATCTGTGTGTCTCTATGTGAGTCTATGGGTCTGCGTGTATATCTGCGTGTCTCTATGTGAGTCTATGGGTCTGCGTGCATATCTGCGTGTCTCTATGTGAGTCTATGGGTCTGCGTGTATATCTGCGGGTCTCTATGTGAGTCTATGGGTCTGCGTGTATATCTGCGGGTCTCTATGTGAGTCTATGGGTCTGCGTGTATATCTGCGGGTCTCTATGTTAGTCTATGGGTCTGCGTGTATATCTGCGGGTCTCTATGTTAGTCTATGGGTCTCTGTGTGAGGAACAACTGCCACCGCAGTCCATGGTCTCAATGAGGCCTCCTCCACGAGTCATCATCCCGAGACTAGAATACGAGGGGTGGCGTTTGTAGCCTCCACAATATGCCAGTTTAACACATAGAAGTAGGCCTTCGCGACGAATATTATCCATAATAAAATAAATGGGTTCGATCGCGTAAACATAAATGTTGTTAAACCCGCCACCACCCGACCAGAGCCAGTCAGTAAAGTTCGTCACGCAAACCAAACGTGCCAATTAGTGACGAGTTCAGCACACCAGTGTGTTGGAGAGCAACCCCCCATTTGAGTCCGACGATTCGCTGGTGATTACAACCAGTTTCATCAGGCGGTTTGCCAGAATTGTGACGAAGTCTCCCTGTTTCGGTCTTAAATAGAGCAGAGTAAAAGCGATGTCGTCACTGTGAGCCAAGGGAGGGTTCATGTAGTCATATACATTGCAAAGATATACAGTGAGGGAAAAAAGTATTTGATCCCCTGCTGATTTTGTACGTTTGCCCACTGACAGAAATGATCAGTCTATAATTTTAATGGTAGGTTTATTTGAACGGTGAGAGACAATAACAACAAAATCCAGAAAAACGCATGTCAAAAATGTTATAAATTGATTTGCATTTTAATGAGGGAAATAAGAATTTGACCCCTTCTCAATCAGAAAGATTTCTGGCTCCCAGGTGTCTTTTATACAGGTAACGAGCTGAGATTAGGAGCACACTCTTAAATGGAGTGCTCCTAATCTCAGCTTGTTACCTGTATAAAAGACACCTCTCCACAGAAGCAATCAATCAGATTCCAAACTCTCCACCATGGCCAAGACCAAAGAGCTCTCCAAGGATGTCAGGGACAAGATTGTAGAACTACACAAGGCTGGAATGGGCTACAAGATCATTGTCAAGCAGCTTGGTGAGAAGGTGACAACAGTTGGTGCGATTATTCGCAAATGGAAGAAACACAAAAGAACTGTCAATCTCCCTCGGCCTAGGGCTCCATGCAAGATCTCACCTCGTGGAGTTGCAATTATCATGAGAACGGTGAGGAATCAGCCCAGAACTACACGGGAGGATCTTGTCAATTATCTCAAGGCAGCTGGGACCATAGTCACCAAGAAAACAATTGGTAACAAACTACGCCGTGAAGGACTGAAATCCTGCAGCGCCCGCAAGGTCCCCCTGCTCAAGAAAGCACATATACATGCCCGTCTGAAGTTTGCCAATGAACATCTGAATGATTCAGAGGAAAACTGGGTGAAAGTGTTGTGGTCAGATGAGACCAAAATGGAGCTCTTTGGCATCAACTCAACTCGCCGTGTTTGGAGGAGGAGGAATGCTGCCTATGACCCCAAGAACACCATCCCCACCGTCAAACATGGAGGTGGA